ACTGAATCAAACCATAGAAATCCATAAAGGGTATTCGAAGAAGAACTCAGAAATGGGGCTGCTGAAGAATAGCATGGTGGAAGCTCATAGAAAAGGACCAGTTCATGATGATGATGATGATGATCTTGTTCATTCTTTCTCTTCTTCATCTTCATCTTCTGGGATTTCAAGTGGGTCATCAATGGAGTCCGCCGATTCCCTGGAAGAAGAAACATCCAGTAAGTTCCTTCCCTCGTCATCAAATCATCTGGTGGTAGCACATGACTCCCTCAGCGACATGTCCTCTCTGTTCCAGCAACTTCCCATTAAGTAAGCGAGCTTGATTCTGGGTTCTTATTCTCTATACTCGTAAATTCTCAGTATTGAGTTTCTGGGTTTGTGATTTGGGTTATAAAGATTGTAGCTTTCTGTTGCAGGATGGGGCTGTCAAGGCATTACCAGGGGAAGTCGCGTTCATTCACTTCATTGGCGAGTGTGAGGGGGTTGGAGGATCTGGGGAAGGAAGAAAATGCAGAGAAGAATAAGAAGAAGAAGAAGAAGTGTTGCAGAAGAAGCTATGGAGAAGGAGGATTGTGGAGAACCAATGCATTATCAAGACATATTGGTAAGAGGGAATGGAGCAGTTCAACAAGTAGGCCTCCAATTCCTCCTCCTCCTAGATCTACCAATACACCCATCATTTCTAATCAAACTCCTTTGTTTGCTTGAATCACTGTTCTTTTAAGGCAGCTTCGAATTTTCTTGCTTGGATTTTGCAGAGAAAATTTATGTCATTATCGGATTTCAAAACCTCCATTTCTTAATTAGAAAAATTAGGACTGGGTTTCTCTCTTCTACTTGGATGGTGTATCTTGAGCAGCAATTAGCGGCTGAAATTTGTGTATATATATGTAAGCATCTTATGTTTCGTATCCATTACTGCTGGATAGAATCTGAGCGTTATCTTGGACATGCAAATTTTTCTTTTCTTTTTTTAATTAAAAAGACAGATGCTGACAAATTACAAGCAAGATCCGATTCACATGAGGCTTTCAGTTTCATATTACGAGGCTATAAAAGTCATTTGGGAGCATGCAAATTTTCTAGCATCATCATCCGTTGTCATTTAAGGAATTTGTTTTACCAGAATATTACTCTTGCGGTAAATGTAAAAATCAGTTAGTTAATTTATATGAATTAAAAAATGAATTAAGTGAATTATTTATTAAAAAAATTTCTGAATTCCTTATAATACCTCTCATCCATTTATATTGCAATATTATCAATATATGTCATAAAAGATTATTCTCAAACTGGTTAACTAAAACAGAATTAATTGGTTCAAAACCTAAGTGGTAGAAATACCGAGAATTAAATCCAACAGAGAAAGCTAGTCGTTCACAAAATAATGAATTAAGATTTGAATTTTTATTAAGATAAGTGTCAATATTTAATGTCTAACAGTATCCTGAATAGAGTTATTGAGAGACTAGGAGTTTTATTGACTCGTCTATATTCTCACTATTCCAATTAGGGGTTTTACAAATTTGTCTCTGGAAAAAAAGGTTTTTGACTCCTCAACAACTTTTTTTCCTAACACACTGTTCCATAGAAGCGTTCTCTCGAATGCAAGGCTTAATTATCGCCAACGCTTTCTAGCTTTGAAGGCAAAAACCTTTTATATGTTATTGATCCCCCCCCCCCGGGAGATTGGAGACTACCTTCAAAAAGAATACGTACCTTCAATCAATTTTATACTAGAAAGAACGTGAAAATTCGAAATATACAGAACACTGAAACAATTTTTTTTTTTGCCTCGCATATACTACCTCCTGTTTTTAATATAAGAACTAGTTAATTAATTTCAGTAAATTAAAAAAGCTAGTTAAATTAGTTATTTGTAATAAATAAGTGTTGTCTTTCCTAAAATATTCTTGCTAATTAAGTATTGACTAGAACTATCATTATTACAAGAACTATCTTAGAAAAAATAGGTAAATATGAGAGATAAAATTGATTGGGGTTTTATATTTAGGACAAAAAAAATCAAATGAGTTTTATATTAAATACCGGAGGTAATGCATTTTACAATTGGACAAAATCCTGATCATGGCACTGTCAATATGGGCACCGATCCTAATAAGAATTTGAACCTTAGTTCGCTATATCATAAGATGCTAGTCACTTCTACTAGACTCAACCTCTATTGGTAAAACATTGAAATAATAAATTTTTTTTGCTGGGCATAACTTTTTTCGAGATACTGTTAGATACTAAATATTAGCACTTCTCTTAATGAAGATTTGGACTTTGGTTTATCATATTATAAGAAATTAGCTCATTTCATTAGACTCAATGTCTGTTGCTAACGCTAAAACAATATAATGAACTATTACCTCTGGTCCTAATTGGAAGAGGTAGTTGACTAATTTAAGGAGATTAATGAAATAAGTTAAGTTAGTTATTTGTAATAAATAGATGTTGTCTTTTCTAAAATATCCTTATTAATCAAGTTTATTAGCTAGAACTACTATTATTAAAAGGACTATCTTAGAAAAGATGCACAAATATAGAAGACAAAATAGGTTAGGGTTTTATAATTAGAATCAAAATAAAAATTAAATAAGATCTTATATTAAGAGCTGGAAGTAGTAGTAGTTAACAAGCTAATCTATTGGGCTTTTTGGCCCGTCCTTGAAGGGTTGGGTTGTAGAAGTTCTTTTTTTTTTTTTTTTTTTCCGGTTTGCTACAAATAAGCTACTTGCCCTAGCTGTCATTGATTTGATCATATGATGGCTTAACTTATTCGCACAGGGTTGGCCCATATTTCCAATTCTTTGCGGTGATGTTGGAACTTCATGGTGGTGCAATATAATGAAGAGTCATAGCTTTTTGGAAGGGAAGATTAAAGTGGCTGACAAATTGCTGGTCAAAATAAAAGTGGCTGACAGATTGTCATGTTTGTGTATTAAGTTGCGGGGTGATTGGAAGCTTCTCGATCTCATGGACCATGGCCGGTGCGTCTTGGTGGGGTTTGCTGACAATAGTCAATCCAGTTGGTTTGTTACAAATATTAGAATTCATGAGTTATTGGCTTGTTATTTGATGCACTAGGTGACATAGAATAAAATAAAATATTAATGTAATAAAAAATTATGATTTTTTTGGTGAAAAATAATAATACTGATAACCTTCAAAATAAAATAGAAAACCAGCACTCTATTTGATTCATTTATAAGACAAAATCAAATAAATTGATTGAAACTCCCAAAGCTAGGGACCATTGTTGCTCTCTAACTTGTATGGCCTCATCTATTTTCCAAAGGGAAAAATAAAAAAATATTTGTTGAAATTTAAAATGATAAATAAGTGATTTTGAGAGATTTTGATTTATCACAACCATTACAAATGTAGTTACCATGACTTATTTGTTTTTTTAAAAAAATTCAATAAGTATTTTTATGTTATTTTCCTTTTCCACAAACTAAAGATTTTTTAAAAAAATATTGAAATTGTAAATAATAAATTTTTATTTGTTTTTAATTGCATCAAGAGAATTTGAAGATGATTTCCACCTCCACCTCCCCTTTATCATAATATCATCCATCCAAATGATGCTGCAACCGTGCATTTGATCGAAGAGTTTTTGAAAGACTTTAAAAAATTTTAATCAAAATTGATTACTATAAAAGTTCCTCTCAATGTAGTATAAGTTTCTTAAATTCATACAATTATATATTTCATTAAAAGATATTACAAAAAAATATGATTTAAATAATTAATATCAATATCAATAATCAATATATACAAAAATAATAATAAAAATCAAATTGTTTATATATTTTTTTCATAGTGCGAATAATATATAATTAATATAAAATATAACAAATTTAATAAACTATAATATTCATGATTTACAAATAATATTATTTCTTTTATAATTTTTTGTGTTAAGTACATGCATCTTTCTATTAGAATTAACCATTTTTGAGGTATTATCAGATACTAAATATAAATATTTTTTAATAAAAAATTAAATATTAGTTTATTATATTGTAACGGGCTAATTTCTTCGCTATATCTAACTTCTATATAGTTTTTTCTTATGCTAATGTAATGCAGCTGGGCCCCTTATTTGGTTGATAAAGAGGAATCATCAATGATGATGAGGGATCAATTTTGGGTGGCATGACTTCGCCCCAACCCAATTTTGACAGCAAACTCGCATCTGCCTTTCAAAGTCAAGCCACCAACAAACCCTTTTTTTCTTTTTTGGCTTTTTGAAAAAAAAACCCCCACAAGTAAACCAAAAAATTGGTCAAGCCAATAACCACTGCATGAAGTTATTCCTATTCCTAATGCTCTAACAACTTTGAAATCTTCCACATAAGTAAATGAAAATATTTTAATATCAACAACTTTAAAATCTACTAACAATAACAATAAATTCTTTTATACCCTTAAAAAATTCAAGTTATAAAATTCTTATAATAATAGTAAAGTTTTGTACTCCTCCAGTCCTAAATATAAGACTTTTAGTACAATTTATACTACAAAATGGGTCTTATATTTAGGACCAGAAGAGTATATTAGGAAAGAATAATCTATAGCTGATTTTTAATTAGGTCTCTATAGTTGTTTATTAGAATCTTATAGAGTCATTTAATTTTTAATCGAATTCTAATAATTTTAAGTAACCGATTAAAAAACTAAACACATGATTAAAAATCAAATGACACTACAGGATAAAAAATTATAAAAATCTAATTAAAAATTAGATAAAATTATAAAAACATAAAAAAAATACATGGAATGATAAAAATTACATAATACTATATCAACCTGCAGATTAATTTTGTTTTATAATCTCAATTCGTCTACCATTATATTCCATTTTAAGCCTTGAAAATAATTTGATTTTAATTACCTATTATTATATGCATATTTCACATCTGTGCATCTCTATCTTCATAGCGTGTGCGCGGGTGCGTGTATATATACACAGAGAGACCGTATACGCGCAAGCAGCAAGCAAACAGCCAAACACCGTCACCGTGAGAGAGAAGGTCTTTTGGCTGACTTTGGTTTCTTCGTTCGTTGTCTACATCTTCCATCACAAATTTACAACCTGTACAGACTTCCTCGCTATTTGTACAGGATTCATCATCTAGCCCAGTCCTCTTCTGGAATTTTCTCTTCTCTTTGTTGTTTGGCCTCTTCGTTTTCTTCTAATTCCTCCGATCCATCTGATTCCGTTCCATGGCGACGATCGGCCACAACAACATCAACGCCAAATTGGTGAGCGAGTTTTGTTTCGGTTCCTTTTTTCTCTATTTTTTTTGGTTGAATTCCTGCTTCGATGGGGATTTTTGGGTTATGATACTAAATTTGTGGAGTTGTCTAAAACCAGGTTCTCCTAGGGGACATGGGTGCCGGAAAATCTAGCATCGTTTTGCGTTTTGTCAAGGGTCAATTTCTTGAATTCCAGGTTACTTTACCTGCTTTTTGATTTATTAGCTAATTTGGTTACTGCTTGCATTTAACTTTGAAGGATTTCCTTGTTCGTTTGCTGAAAAATTTCCCAGGATTTGTCACACGACAGTTTCGTGAATTAGTTTACCACGGCGAAATATTGTCACATCTTGTACTTAGCTGATTTATGCCGGGTTGACCTAGAAAACATTTTGGAAAACTAGTTTTTCTAATTAGATTTACCGAATGGAATCAGGATTCTGCTAGTTTTTGAATGAAATGAATGTAAAAGCTATAATAGGCTCGATAATTGAAGTTTCAACTGGTTATAAAATTCACAACCTAGTTTGCCAGCTGCTTTCCTTTTGAAAGGGAAAGGAAGATAGTGAGCGTTGACTGGAGCGGTCCTGGTCCCTAAATTGATACTTTGCTACCGCAGTGAAATGGAAGGGGGCAGCGGGTGGGCAAATTTGTCTTCTCATTGGCGTAGTTTGCATATCACCAGTTTTGGCTTTTCCGGCTCAGGCCTTATATATTGTGCCAAAGCCTCATGCAAATTAAATCATACCTGAAGATTCTTTTGCTGAATGCATGTGATCTATTGCACTGACAGGAATCTACAATAGGAGCTGCATTTTTTTCACAAACGTTGGCAGTAAATGATGCAACCGTGAAATTTGAGATTTGGGATACTGCTGGACAGGAGAGGTACCATAGCTTGGCTCCCATGTACTATAGAGGTGCTGCTGCTGCTATCATCGTTTATGACATTACCAATGAAGTATGATATCTTTCCCTTTGGATGTTTAGTAATATGTATTGAAAGGGTAATATTGTTATTCATCGATTAATTGTCTTCTTGTATGTGCTTCAATGTTAAAATCCCTTTCTTGTTTGTATTATTTCATATTGGAAACTGTAAATGATGGGATAAGTGTAGGGATTTGAAAAGGTTGTTGCAGGTTAGTTGCACTGCTTAATAAGCAGTAAAGCCTTTTTTTTTTTTTTTTTTTTTTTAGTGTTGTGGATGATTGAGTACCTCAATTTTTCCTTTACTTCTATTCTTGTATCCATGAGATGAATTTTTGGAATGAACTTGAATTCTGTCTCCAATCATTTACCTTGTGTTTTTGTCTTTTGAGTCTTGAAGAATGCCACCTTCACGGCAAAGTTGCTAAATTGTGCAATGCATGCCTGGGACATACTATGACCTATATACTTAATCTAAGAATGAAGAGTAGTAAACGTCAGACCCACTAATTGGTGAATATAGAAAGGTCGGAAAGCCCAATCCTTGAAGTAAGATTTGATGGACAAAGCTTTGCAGACAAAAATTAGCAAAGTATGTATTTGTAGATTTTGAATTTGTTAGATGGAACCTTGAATACCATTTTTTCTTTGCAAATTGTTGAAAACAAAGTGACATGAATCGATATGATATTTGCACAAAAGTTGAGGAGATTCAATCTGCTGGCAGGGCTATGCTTGTGTGCTTGGGTAGGTCCAAGACAGTGAATTTTGACATTTTTATGCTGTGTTTACTAAGGCTAGTTCTACCTCTCAATTGCAGGATTCATTTGCACGAGCTAAGAAGTGGGTCGTCGAACTTCAAAAGCAAGGTATTTGCTGATAGCCATTGAAGTTTCCTTTAGTTATGTGCGGGATATAATATAGTACCGTAATATTGAGTTGCTCCCCTCTCCTCCCATCCAACTTTTGAACCAAACAAGGGGCTCCTCTTCCCTCCCCTCCATTAGATGCCAACCAAACGTCCCCTCAAAAAATCCCCCAACCAAGCACTACTTTTGTCGCTTCATTTGAAAATAGAAGAGCATGTATGTCCATTTAAACAAATATCAGTAACCATTGGTTTTTACGCAAACATAAATCTTCCTCCAGAGGGAAAGCAGGGGATGCTTTTAGAGTTAGATAGCCAGATTCCCAAATCATGTACTTATTTTGGTGTTTTTTTACAGGGAATCCTAACATGGTTGTGGCACTTGCTGGTAACAAGGCTGACTTGGAAGATAAGAGGAAAGTGACGCCTGAAGTAAGTAGTATGAAATATTTTAATGTTCTTATTATGGCATGTAAACTATTAATAACTAAAATTCTTGAACTGACTTGCTAATTTCATTGCAACTTTGGTAAAGCAGTATTAGTTTAGATTTAAATTTGAAATATGGTTCTGATGACAAATAGGTATTTTGCATCATGTTGCTATAATTATTAATTTTTATGTTCTGTGCACCCGAGTATAACAATTGATGATATCACTTTGATCTTGTTTGCATTTGAGTTGTCGAATAATTAAATTTTGTGGTCTTCTTTTGGGCGAAGGCTGTTGACTGTTCTGAGCTACAAAGCATGGATGCTTGTATAGACACAAAACATGACACTCAAATGGATGCGGTGACATGACAAAATCTGATGTGTCTATACGTAACTTAAACTGTTGCGTTGCGTCTGATATGCGTGCTTGACTTGACATGTTTCAGATAGACATAACTCTTGATTTACAGTGTTGTGCTTCATTGGTTTTAAGCTTCTCTAGATGTCAGCTCTGAACGTCAACTAAGACCTCTACTTGAAGTATGAGGAACCATTTTCTGGGAATCTGGATTGTCTGTTGTGCTGTCCTTGACCATCCATAATTCTTTTTTTGGCCTTTTTATTTTAAATCTTGACCATCCTTTTTTTTTCCCCTTTTTATTTTGGAGAGAACATAAAATAAATTAGTGTATTCAAGTCATCGCTTGTCTTTCAACCAGTGGGTCATGTAGTCACGCTTCCTTCTCCTAGCTATCTCCAGATAGAAAAGTAACTAGTTTTCTGATTGAGGCAACTGTCTTTATATTACTTCATTTCTTTTTAACATAAGGGGAAAAAGGATCGTCAAAATTAAGTCAATCAAAAAATTGGAGGATCAGTATCCTACATGTTTGCATGCCACAACAGACAATCCTTGCTCATTTATTCGGTTAATTACAAATAAAACGACAATTCTGCTGACACCCAGCTTGTTGGAGTTATATTTGGTCTTACAATATGGTAGACAACGAGATAAACCCTAACCCTATTCTTGTAATCTGATTTTACTTTAATCAAACTTTTGGCAGTTTGAACTTTAAATTTAGTTTATTCGCTTGCAGATTCTGCTCAAGGATAATTTATAGTCTATAACTATTTAATTTTTCAAATTGGTTTCCTTGTGAGTAAAACTTGGCGAAGAATTTTGAATGACTTTTTATAATTAAAGGGATCCCTTTCCTGCATTTCAGCTCACTTTTTAGCTCCTCTGTAAGAAACTCCTTGGATGCCCCTTTTGCAAGTTTTGATGATCTGTTTGTCATTAAAAGTTTATACATTTTGAATCTTATTTGAACTTGTTGGGTCGCTGTGTCTAATTCGTAAATTTTTACGGTCGAAGGTGCTTTAATTTGGAATATTATGCGGTGCTCTGTGTAGTTTGTTCACCCATGATTGATAAATTGCTTTTTTTCTTTCTTTTGCCCAATGACAAATTGCTTGGGTTTTTTGTATAATATATTTTAAAAAGTTATATGCTAAATGTAATTTCTTGAAACTAGCGACTGCAACTTACAGGTGTTATTTCATTCACATTGCAGGAGGCACGAACATATGCTGAAGAAAATAATCTCTTTTTCATGGAAACATCTGCCAAAACTGCAACCAATGTAAACGACATGTTCTATGAAATAGGTGTGACTCATTTTCTATGTTGAATACTCTTTGGGCTGCTTGATGTGGATGATAAACTATCATATTTTAATCATTTTCTGGCCCTTTTTTCTCTGATTGAATTACTTTAGGATAATTGCAATGTAGACGGAACCTCAATTCGAAGAGGTGAAACTGTCTTTTAGAGACGCCTTTCATCTCCCGTACTTATCCTGCAGGACAAGATTTTTGCGATTATTTTTTCCTAGTGATTGGAATTTAAATTAACATTTTATGTTATTGGTTGTTGACTGGGAAGTAATTATCAGAACCTAAACACATCAGCTGAACATTTAGCTACGAATCTCGTGTCCATAGTTAAATGTCTTCTTTTAGGGTTCATCTTCTTAAACATGTGAATATTTCTGATGTGAAGTTGCTGATTGTGCACGACTGATCATCTTTGTTGCTTGACTTAAAATTTGGTTATGTAAACAGCAAAGAGATTACCGAGGGCTCAGCCTGCTCCTAACCCAGCTGGGATGGTTCTTGTGGACAGACCCGCAGAAGGATCCAGAACTGCTGCATCCTGTTGTTCATAAGCATTGCTGTTGTAATTCTTCTTCCTTTAACCTAGCATCATCTGTGTTTTCTCTTTCTATGGTTTGTCCTTTGCACTTCAGTGGCACACTGTTATTTGTAGCTCCAACATGTAGTATGGGCAAGTATATATCTACACACGCCTTGGAATGATTACTTTCAGTGGGTTGGTTTGATGAAGACATGGGGTGAAATGCATGAAATGAAACTCCAGCTTTCCGGCATAAAGATGTGTGAATAACTATTTTTTTTTAGTGGCTGCAAAATATTTTAATGACAAATTGATTGTTTTTAACCTTTAATCATATTATGCTTGACTGGTCATCTTTGATGATTCAATAATTTCTGTTGATTTTACGATTATACGAACCAAAACTGATTTTAGTTGGCCATAGAATTATTTTTAGCATTACATCGGTACGTTTTGAGAACTTTTGGAATGACTAGTGCTCCTTTATAACATTTAACTTGGGAGAATTTTTATGAAGTCCCAAGTAAGAGGCATAATTGGTCCTCATGACGACAGAGTAGTGTGTAATAACAAATTTCAAGATAGAAAATTACAGTTATTTGCTTGTCATTGGGTTTACTGATAGTTTTTTTTATCTTTGTAATCTCATTATAATTCTCCTTTTTATCTTCGCACAGGCATCTCCTCAAAAAAATATTGTTCTCTCCCAATTTTCCCCTTCTGCCAAGACACATGTAGCTCTGGAGCATAATAATTGGCGATAAAGCTTAGATGAATTCGGGCTTGTTTGGTTCCATTCCATCTAAGGAATGGAATAGAAAGGAATGAATAACGTTTACTGTGAATGTGTTAAGTATGTGTTCATGGATACGAAATCTAAGTGAATAAAAATAACCATGAAAAGTCCGAAATAGCCCTAAAAAAATTCCAAGACGCAAATGAAAAAAACATTACATGGATGTCAATCTGGCATGTAATAAGAGAATTTGTTGATGATAAATGTTCATGTTTTTTTGGTTAAACGTGACATTTGGAGACATGTCCGAGGCTGGGTATGGTGAAATGCCATTCCCAATTGAAGACTAAGCAAACGCAGATTAGTGGTAGAATCTTGATTGCCATTCTCAAGGGGTTTGCGGAATTGAGCCAATAAATGTAATTAGTTTTTATTGGATATGTGATCAATTTTCATTAAACTTATCTCAACAACCAACGAGTACCCTATATTTAATATAAAAATTCAAATAAATGTACTGTTCATAAATTATGAACAGTGTTATTTATTTTGTCGGGGGTCCTTGGATCCTTTTTAAGCACGAGTTTGTAAGTTTAAACTCTCTGTATAGAAGACATAATAGGTACATTAGTTATAACGAAAAAGAAAAAGAGAACAATATTGCTTGTTTTTTTAGAGATGTGCCTAAGCGTGCAAATGTCTTTTATATTTTAATAAAATGCTTTTCAGAAACAATTTTTCTGCCATCCCACAAAGATAAGCTAACCCATACTGAACAGAATAAAGAGAATGAATGGTGGCTTTGCCTGCCAATGCCACCAATCTTGTTATCGCCTCTGTAAACAGTTTGAGGAGCAACTTGATTATTATGTTATTTAAATATTTTTGAATGGTTCATATTGATGCTACATCATCAAAAGCTTCAAAAGACAGGCTTCCCATTTTCAATCATGCCCCATACAGATTCAATTAGACACCACAATATGCAGCTTTTAACAGCTTTTTTTGTTTTTGTTTTAATGATTTGATATTATCAGCCTTTTCTTATCTTTTCCTTTTTGGGAAAGTGAATCATAATCAAAACTGAAAATTTGTTTGAATGATTGACTTTAAATTTTTGTCCTGATATACGTGAGTGGCCAAAGGATAAAAATTTATAATAAATTAGTTATCCCCTCCCCGTAATTTCCTTCTTCAGAGATACCATTTTATTTGCAGGTCCAAGTTCAACCCCACAACTATCTTATCATGTTGCTGTTGCGGTTCTCAAGAAGGATGTGATATTTCCTCTGATTTTAATTGTCGGCAAAAATTGTCCAAATTTTCTGATTATAATTATAAGCAAAACTACACAATTTTAAGTGATTAATGGATATTTTTAATCATAGCCCTTTTTAAAATTAGGATAAGATAACATCTAGTACTCTCATGCATTCAACATCACAATCTTATGTATGACAGATCCAGCATGTTAATATTATTTTTCCAGTGTGTCTAGCAAGCTAGTCTTATTTATAGTGAATTTAACATTTTAAACTATAAATAGGATTATAGTGTTGAATATAACTAAATAATATGGAGAATACTAAATGCACCAGAAAAATAATATGAAAGTGCTGCATGTTACTTTCAGATGACCGTATGGTCAGCTCTTATCAAAGTTAATCAATTTTATATGTCCGGAAAGATATGATGATGAGCACTTAACCTTTATCAATGTTATTTGCTAAGTATTTTAGAGTTATAACAGGAAAATGGCAACAAATTAGAAGACATTACATCATTCGAAATTTAAAAAAATCCAATTAAAAAAATAAATAAAATAATACTCCTCTAATTCTATTTACATGGCAGGAAAAAAAGATATTTTCTGTCTTATTTATAAGGCATTAAGAAAACTTTTTTGTATGAATGTAAAATTTTATTCTTTATTTATTATATTGATTTTGTTTATATAAATTATAATATATATTAAATAGAAAAAAACCTGAAAAATTATTAAATTTTAAACGAGAGTTAATAATTTATCAACAGGACCGGACAAATATATAACAAAAAAAAGTTAGTAAATCAAACAATAGATTTGGCCAGAAACAACCAATTATGATATTCACTTTATTGATATGGAAAAATTTCAGAGGAAAAACAAAGAAATGATTGTCAGATCCTCTGAAATGATGTTTCAAAGTTGATGAAATCCCAAAATGATTGAAATAGTTCTCATCCCATCCATCACAAACACAGCTTAGCATTAAAATAGTTTTTTCACCAACCAGTCTCATATTGATGTTGATATGTTTGTATGCGTATATATACTTAAATTGCATGAAATAAAGGAAAAGAGATTTTTTTTCTTCTTCCTTTTGTTTCTAAGACTAAAGAAAACAAAAGCATGTGAAGACGAAGAAATTAAAAAGTCTGGATTCATATTAAGTTGGCGCAGTAGGCCCACTGGTTCTGTGGCAACTGTCTGGTAAGTAAGATGACCAAGAAGAATTCCTAATTTATTAATGAGAAAATTTCATTAAACCCTCACAGTATCCAATAGCTCTCATAAGATTTCAAAATTTCACTCTATGCTTTTGAACCAAAATGAAATTAAAATTTAAAGATAAAAAGACAATAACACCCCTACTTTTTTATTTTAAAAAAAGATTAATTGTTTATGAAGCTTCAGCATCGGCCACTTGAGCACCGGTGACTGGACATCTGACCTCCAGTAGCCAGTCATTGGAGATTTTTTTAAAAATAAGATGGCCAAGAGAGTTTAAACTCATGGCCTACTGGCACACCAAAATGTAATTACCAAGCCAACCTTACTTAAAAGGGAAAAAAATCCTTTAGTGACTGACCAGTGAAGGTTAAAGGTCCAACCACCAGCACTCCGATAGCCGACCCCAGAGCTTTGACAATAATTAATTGTTTTTTTAAAAAAGAGGGGTATTATTGTATTTTACCTTAAATTTTAATTTCATTTCAGTCCAAGGGGGTGGATTGAAATTTTGAAATCTTTTAGAGATTGACTAGTGTCAATTAGCTATTAGGGGTTTAATGAAATTCTCCTTTTATTTATTCATAAAGTTAGACAATGAATTATGAGGTGAGACTAGGAACCTATTGAGAAGTAAAACTTTGATTAAGTTTTTCTTTTTCTTTTTATAACCCTTTGGGCCAAGCGGTATCCAGTACTTTTTCTGAATCCTATTATCATGTATATGAACAACCGACTAATCCAAATCGAGTTTTGTGGAACCATTTTGGACAGCAAGCTCTCCCAACAAATTTTAATGCAGCTGCATGCTCGGGGTTCGAACACAAGACCCCTAATTGATTAAGCTAGACAAACCCCTTACCAGTTTAACCAAGTGCTTGTGGGTTTGGTTAAGTTTATTATTAATAATTTTGCCTTAGATAAATATGTAAAAATGATTTTGATAAGTTTAATTAATGATCCTGTTTTCATGAAACCAATTCAAAATGCTTTCCTAATTCCGTTGGCTGAAGGTCATAAGCAAAGCTACGATGAAATGGCTGCATTTTTCCATGTTTCCCATGATATCAAGGATACTGCTTCCGGTTCTGAATATAAGAATTCGTAGAAGTTTTTTCAATTCTACATGTAAGATTTTAATCTAATTTATTTTTAAAATTTTTTTTCTAAAACTATCCTCATTGATTGCTCATATGAAGGGAATTTTTCATTAGAAGATCAGAGGGTATCTATATTTTTTACAAATAACTGATTACTCAACTAATTTTTTTTTAATATCTACAAATTAAATTACTTATCTAGTTCTTATATTTTGTATCACAAGAAGTGCTACCCCTCATATGCTTAATATAAAAGTTATTTAACTAATTTAGATAGATTAAAAAAATTAGTTAATAATAAAAATTTAACTTGATCTCTTTAAAATATCATGTACTGTACATCATTAGATCATATGTCTACTTATAAATTAGATAAATTAATTTAAAAAAATGATAAATATACGTAGGACAAAGTCAAGGGAAAATCCCAACTGCTCCTATAGTAGGCGTTGAAGAAAATACTATTTAGGGCCTCTGTGCCTATCACAAAAAGTCGTGATCGAAAGACAGAAAGAAAAGAAAAGTAGGGTTGGGATGTCCTGGCCATAGCTCTTTGCCCCACTGAAATATCTTACGAGATGACCATTAATAGGCCATGAAAACACACAAATTAAACTAATGCGCCTTTGATAGGAATAAAGTGGTCATTAAATGCTGCTGGTTGGGAAAAAAAAAGAAGTGGTCATTAAATGCCATTTTTAACGACAATAGAATAGTATGGTTACGTTTTAGGTTCAAAATATTAAAAGAGACCAACAAAAGATAGGGCTCGGTGAAAGAACTGGAAAAAATATAATACTGATTTAATAAAACGATTTTCCATATTTCAATTTATTGTCTTGCCTCTTTTCTTCCTAATAATATATGTATATGTATAGAAGCGCATATTTTTTAGGGTATCAAAACTAATATTATTGAAAATTGATATCATCAATATGCATTTTGCATGTAAGATTAAGAGGATAAAAAGGATTTTTGTGTGAGGATTTTGCTCCCATGGGCAAAAATGCAATTTCATCTCCAGGTTTTTTTTGGGGTCTGAATCCCTGGTTAAGAATTTAAAATTGATTAGGAAAATGTGTACTGTATTTAAAATTTTAAAATATTGAAAGAGGCTAAATAAAAATTGACATTGGTCGAAAAAGGAAAAACTGATATAATAAAAGAACCTCCTCCCAATAAGAGATAAGTAAGAAATTCAAGGATTTTTTTTTGTGAAATGGCCAGTGATTTTTCTTTTTAAAGCAATCATATACATAATCATAGTATCCTGGAATTGAATGTTAAAACCTCCAAATACTTAATTAAGGTTAATATCCTTGTGATAATATTCTGAAAGAAATTAATTAAATATCGTCCATGATAAAAATTTCTAGGGAGTAACAGCCGGGGAGGAGGCACCACATAATCATATTTTTTTTGGCGAAACATACATATTTGATTGTCTGTATGCGTGTATTCTAAGGTTGATTAGTTTCGCAACATTCTTAACTCTACACAGAAGTAGACAATTTTCTTAAAAAAGGTTAAAATTCAAAAGCTTGCTATTGTTTTTATTGGTTATGATGAAACTCAAACCTTCAAGCTGGTAAAACGCCAATCTTCTGATCCTCTTCTTTTTTGCATCTCCTACCTCAGACTTTTGTTGTCTTGAATTACTGAAGTTGCACCAGCTTTCTCTGCATCCTTGAATCACACAAATGTTGTCCCTTATAAGAAAATTTTTTTTCTGTGATCTACTCAGTCGCTCTTATCTCAATGGTATCATGGAAAAGGATGTCAACATGTTGTTTCAATCTTTTTCTAGTTACTCTTTTTACAAAACTGATGTCCTATTAGTTTCTCATCCCTGACCTCTTCAATATCGAATTTAGTTGTATGACTCTTTTCATTTTATAAAATTGACCTTTTTGTCAAAAATAAATAATAAATATTGTGTAAAAAGGGGGAAGAAAATGCATGCAATTTCTTATAGAAATTAATATAATACTCTTCCAATCCTAAGTGTAGTAGTTAATAAGTAAGTTTGTTAAATGTAAGATTCTATTTCACTTTATTTTTTATATTTATTATTTGGGTTAAGGTTCAATTTTGTCCTCGAAGATTTTGGATCTTAATTCTCATTATTTTTTTAAAACCAATTTATCTAACTCATAAACTTATACATAATATAATTTTATACGAGAATCTTTTAAAAAAATTGGATCACATTTATTAAAATTAAATAATTTATTTAACTTTCTTAAATAATTTAAATTAGTCAAGTGAGTAGTTTTCACATTGTTAAAGCATAGAAGCATGCACACGTGTGTTTTGTTGAGTTCGCTAGCCGCCGTACATATATATTTTTTTCAGTTTTTAATATAAGAGCTAATATATGACTTTTAATTTGATCCTAACTATAAATCTTAGTTTATTCTGTTTTTCATATTTATCCAACTTTTTCAAAGTAATATTTTTAGTAATTGCATATTTTAAAGGTTTCATCAAATGATAATTCTAACTAATACATATAATTAGTAAGGGTATTTTAGGAAATACAACACATATTTATTACAAGTAAGTAACTTAACTAATTTTTTAATTTTTTAAATTTATTAATTAGGTCTTATATTAAAATAGTACATAATATGTCAAAGCAATTTATTTTATTTGGCCGGAAGGTCAAAGCAATCATTAACCATGAAACGAATGAGAGAACGAAGAAACGTGGAAGCCCACCATTGATGAAGATTTCACATGCCCAACAACCACCCCAATCTTGTCCTGTCTCCTTCAATTTTTTTTTTGGCTCAATGTTTGAGTCACCAAATTGGAATATTAACTATATACTCCTCAGTACTAATATAAATATATTTAACTAATTTGATTAGATTAAAAAAATTAGATAAATTACTTAATTATAAAAATATAACATATTTTTCCTAAAACACTATAATCATCTTTCTTAATATCTTCTCTTCATGTTCTACTTGATTATGGTTAAGGTAGTATCCGTAGAGATAATTTTAAAAAAATTGATAAATATGAGAAATATGTCTTATATTTAGGACCAAAATCAATTCAACAATTAGTCTTATATCAAGAACCAGAGGAGTATATTTTAAAGGTTAATATAGTTTTTTGTGCTTCAAATTTATTATTATTTTTGTCTTAATTTCTCAAATTTTAAATCATAGATTTTAGTACCTAAGTTTTTTTTATTTAGAATATCAGTCCTCATAATCCAATAAAAATCTGGACAATTTTGCTCCTTGAAAACCAAAACCTGTGATTTAAAATTTGAGAGACCAAAACCAAAATGAGGACAAACTTGAGGAACCAAATATTATATTAACCCTATTTTAAAATTACTCATTTAAATTAAAGATGATTAAACTTTGTTTTTTGTTTGCGTCTCAAAACAATAAATAGTTTTAAATATTCATAAATTTAGAAATTCATTTTAAGTAAAAACGACTCAACCATCTTTTCGGTTTCGTAGGGTAGCCGGGGATGCCTTATAATAATGATTAAAGTATTCAATTCCCCTATTTAAAATACGTAGGATGAGTCAACTTCTCATAGATGTGCATGCATATATACATAAGTGTGCATGTGTAAATTCCTTTGTAGATCATATCAAATGAATCTTGAAAAAAAAAAATCTCGAAAATTCTTTGATAAGGTTACATATTAGAGAGAATTACAATGAAATCGTAAGAAAAGAAAAAATTACAAAAAAAATTTAAGAAATTGTCATTTTTTACTTAAATTTGTTCTTACAGACTGTTTAGATTGTTATTGGGACATTTTATTAATTAATTTTTCAAGAGTTGATTGTAATTCTCTGTACATATTAGGAACGCAACGCAGGTAGAGATAGAATATAGAAGGTGGAGACTAAAAGTGGTACCTGCTTCGTGGAGAACGCCTTAAACATACAAGAATGTGAAACACACGCATGCTTGATGCTTCTCAGCTTTATTCCTCCAACTGTCAACTACCACTTCCTCCCTCCCCCCCCAACCCCCTGTGTTCATACTCACTTACCTTCTCTCTCCCCTCTCCTCCTCACCTTCAACTGTATTTATGTTTGGTCACAAAGAAAATAAAAGGATGAGGCCCAAAAAACAAAACGAGAAGAAAAATGTAAATAACAAAATAGGAAAGAAAATTATAAGTTTTCTTGACTCGATAGTGGTTTTTTCCTTTGGGGGAGGGGAGATAATTTGAGGTTAAAAAAAAAATAAAAGAGAGACTTGGACCCACGAATCTTCTATATAAACTTTCCTCTTTCGAAAAGCAAATATGCTAAGTTTTTTTTTTAAAAAAAACAACGCTGGTCAAATTTATATGATTGGGAAAAAAATATGTTTTTGACACATCTTCTAGGAAAAAAAAAAAGGGGCATGAGGCCCCGATATTTTCCATGTGAATATTGTTGTGGTTATTATTTTCTTTTAATTTCTTCTGGTTTTTATTTTCTATTCACCCTAAAATAAGAAGAAAAGCATTTCTCTCTATTTTTTTCCTTTCCTTCGCTTTCCCTTCTCAACCAAATGAATTATAAAACCAAATAATAGTAGTTATTACTTATCAATTTCTATAATAATTTATTTATAAATCTTATTTTTTATATAATACACCAGTATATTAAGGGTGGAAATAGGCCAAACCCTTATTAAAGACCAACAGCTAATTTACTTTGAGTCTAGTATAACATATTTAATGAATAGATTTAGGGGTTGTACTTATTTAGGCAAAAATGTTAGATATATTTTCATAAGGTTTAGCCTGCAAACCTCTATTCATGGCCTATTATTTTTTTAATTTGAATTATTATATATAATTTAATCTAATTTAATTTTATAAATTATCTATAAAATTAACTTACCCTTAACACCCAAATTTTACATCCATCATTCATGTACAAGCTCAGTTTTTTCATTCATCAGTCATCTCTCCCCCCCCCCTCCATTGCTTGTGATGACAATATTAATTCACTCCCTCTCCCTTGATTTTGGTGTCTGAAACACAATAATTGTTTTAAGTTTATTTTAATAACACCCAAATGAAATATTATAGTAATATCGGTAGGAGGACTTGTCATATTTTTACGAGAAAGCAAAAAAAGTAAAATCTAGTTTTACAGTTATGCTTGGTTAATTTAAAAATATATATCTCCTTGATTAAGGAGTGATTATTTTCCTTATTCTTGCTTGCTCAAACAAGTATTAGTACTAGGCTTTTAAATATATAGGTTTCAAGAATCACATAGGACCTTAGAAGTATATGTTTTAAAATATAACCTATTTAAAAGCCTACATTTTAATTAAGTCTTTGAAAGGCTTTATACTATGTCAAGCCTTTTGAATGTTCAAGTTTAAAACTAAAAAATCCTCTATACAGACTAAGGCTTAGGTTTAGGTTTTAAATCTAGTTTCAATCCCAAATTTATTTAATTAGTTAAAACCCAACGTACCTAACTTATTTCTACTCTCAATACGTTCCGCCAATTATGGATAATGCCGCATTTTTATTTTATGCATGAGAACTATATGAAAACACTTCCAAGTAAAAAAAAAAAAACACACTCATATTTAAGGTAAAATAATGAAAGTGTATTTTGAGTGTCTCGCTCTATTCATCGAATTGAATAAAATAATAAACATGCATCCCACACTCATTCATAAATAAATATGCATATCGAGCCATTATTAAAGTTATTCTTTTTAGAAAAAGAATATATTTACTTTTTAATCCCTTCCACATATAATTTTTCTTCTTTTTTTTTTCAGTAAAACGATCGATAAATGGTTTTTTGTTTTTTTTTAACATCGTGAATTATGCCGCTTACATTATCATCGTCACCACAACCACCACCGCCGTCCTAATCCTCTCACCACCATCATCGAAGATTCACTTTCATTTCCGCAGCATCTTCTCTGTCAATTAATATTGTCACGTGGACCCCACAACCCCACCTACGTGGCACCTTCCTTCTCCCCCTCCATTTCCTTCCCGGTTCTCAGTTCCCTCCGCTATAAATAACTCCCGCCACTTTCATCAACCATCTCCACACACAACAATCTCACTCTCTCTCCCCCCCCCCCCTCTAAGTTCTCTCTGATCGATCCGTCGCCGGCGGCCATGGACCAGCTTCCGAAACGCCAAGCAAACTTCACCCAACTCACTCCTCTCACTTTCTTGTCCAGAGCTGCTTCTTCTTACCCCAATCGCATCTCCATTGTCCATGAATCCACTTTCTTCACTTGGCCTCAAACCTACGATCGTTGTCGTCGTCTCGCTTCCTCTCTTCGGTCCCTCAACATATCCAAATACGATGTTGTAAGTACTACACAACATCATCAGACTTATCATCCTCGTCGTACAGTTTTGTAATACGATGTTTTTTTTTTTGGTGAAATATAATACGATGTTTGTTGACGATAATTAATTGGTTTCATGATTGTATGCGTTCAGGTTTCTGTGCTGGCACCTAACATTCCGGCCACGTACGAGATGCATTTTGCAGTTCCGATGGCCGGTGCTGTGCTCAACACCATTAACACTCGCCTCGACGCTAACAAATCGCCACCATTCTTCGTCACTCTGACGCCAAAGTCCTGTTCGTGGATTACGAATATGTGCCCAAGGCTCGTGATGCGCTTCGTTTGCTCATGAATGATCACCGGAATCAGTATTCGTCGCTTCCGTTCGTCGTTGTCATCGACGATATAAACTCCCCGACGGGGATCAGGCTGGGAGAATTGGAATATGAACAACTGGTTCGTCATGGTGATCCGAATTATGTTCCAGAGGAAATCCAAGACGAGTGGGATCCCATAGCTTTGAATTACACTTCAGGAACAACTTCGGCTCCCAAAGGAGTCGTTTACAGTCACAGAGGCGCTTATCTCAGTACTCTCAGTTTGATACTTGCTTGGGAAATGGGAAGCGAACCGGTTTACTTATGGACACTTCCCATGTTTCACTGCAACGGCTGGACTTTTACGTGGGGCGTGGCGGCGCGCGGCGGCACCAACGTCTGTCTCCGGAACATAACAGCTTCTGAAATCTACAGAAACATAGCCCAACACAATGTGACTCACATGTGTTGCGCTCCCATCGTGTTCAGCATCATGTTAGAGGGGAAGCCGACCGCTGCAATGAAGTCTCCGGTCAAGATATTTACCGGAGGAGCCCCGCCTCCGCCGGCGCTGCTCGAGCAGATTGAATCTCTCGGGTTTCATGTAACTCATGGGTACGGGCTGACGGAGGCGACGGGACCGGCATTGATATGCGAGTGGCAGAAGAATTGGAACCAGCTTGAGAAAAGGCAACAAGCAGGGCTGAAAGCTCGACAAGGAATCAGCATATTAACAATGGCAGACGTGGATGTGAAAGACTCGGGACGATGAAGAGTGTGCCTCGAGATGGGAAAGCCATGGGAGAGATTGTGCTAAGAGGAAGTGGAATAATGAAGGGCTATTACAGAGATCCTGAATCTTCCTCAAAAGCTTTCGAAAATGGCTGGTTCTGGACTGGTGATGTTGGAGTGATACACCCAGACGGGTACGTGGAGATCAAGGATAGGTCAAAGGACGTGATAATATCCGGCGGAGAAAACATAAGCAGCGTCGAGGTGGAGTCGGTGCTGTATACACATCCGGCGGTGGCGGAGGCGGCGGTGGTGGCAATGCCTCATCCACGGTGGGGGGAGAGTCCTTGTGCTTTTGTAGCCTTAAAGAAGAACCCAGAAGAAGTCGGTATTGTCGACGAAGGACAGATCGTAGCTTATTGCCGGAAGAAGTTGCCGTCTTTTATGGTTCCCAAGGCGGTGAAGTTCATGGAGGAGCTGCCCAAGACGTCGACGGGGAAGATTCAGAAGAATGAATTGAGAAACAAGGCCAAAGCATTCGTAGAGTCCGAGGTTAATAACAATCATGTTTCGCAGTCCAAGAATGATAATACTAAAAAGAAGAACAAGAACAGCAACTATGGAGTTAACCAGAATATTGATGCATATAATGTGCAGATTATGGCTCACTCTCGTCTTTGAAGTTTCAAGTCTTTCAATCGGAAAGTTTAAAGATAATTTGATGTTACACATTGTGAGAAAACGAGCTTTTCTAGATGCTTTAGAGTTTCAAGCTTTATGAGCCCCTGTACATGCCAAAGGCCGCCATATTCTGTTCTATTCGTATTTAAGGCTTGTAATCTAGCAAGTTAATAGGTGTTTATTTATTATATTAATGTTAATATATATTAATTAATTATTGTTGCCTTGAAAAAAGCGTCTTCGATCTTCTTCCGCGAAATAAATCGGCAATTGCACAAAATAGAAAGAGCTGAGCTTTATAGTTTGTGGGCCTCATTGATCAGAGAGCATCACAATGCCTTTGATTGGATGATTTGTATTGGAAATAAGAGTTGTTTTAGTTGATAAGGAGTCGATTCATAACTCATAAAGTCACATGTAAGTTCAAATTCTAGTACCAATATGAAAATCTGGTTGATGGACAATTTACAAGTACTTCTGAAAATATTCATTAAGTTTGGAGGCATATTTTAGTTGAACCCTCGAACCAATTCACTTAAACTTTCTTTCACCAAACAAAAAAGTTGTCTGATTCATATTGGTGACTGATTCGGTTCCTTTCATTTTCATTATTACTCTTTCATTATGAGTTTTCAATTCAAGTTTTGCTGGAAAGATTCTCTTACTGTTAATTTTGATACTCATATATCATTGTTCGAGCTATTGTTCATAGCTTCATCCCACTTTAGGTCAAAAAGAATAACTTCGTTCTTCTCTGATCCTATTTATAAAATAAAAAGAGAATGTTTTTATCCTATATTTATAAATTACATCATTAAATTTTTAATATAAATGTACTACTTTATTCTTCATTTGTTTTTGGATACATTATTACTATTTTCTTGAAAAGTGTATATACTCCTCTAATCCAATCGTATTGATAAGGCAGAGACAAAATTTTTGAGGAATATTTTGGCACACTAAGTAGGATAAATAGGAGTAGATTGTTATTTTCTTAGAAAGTGTGTATATTTGAAATACAAGTAAAGTTGACATATTGTTATAGTTAATTTAGTTTAAGATTTTTATTGGTTTGTGCAAAATGTACTGAAAATGCCCTCTAAATAAGATTAGAGGTAGGAGTAAAGTTAAAAATTTGTTAGATTTTGAGATAATGCTAATAAAAGTTTAAGATTTTTTTTTTAATTCTAGTGATAAGTCACTTTCAAAATGTTTTACTAAAATAAAAAAAATTATAAACCTAATAACTATGCTTTAAAATTTAACAATTTTCAATTTCACCTCATTTAATATACAACATATCTCATGAAAACAAAATCTATATAATAATAAATCAATTGTAAAACTGTATATTTAAATAAAACAATTTAATGATGTATCTTATATATAAAAAAATTCTCTCTTTATCTTATTATAAGTAAAAATTTCGATTAAGATAGAGGAGTATAATGTTTCAAGTGAAGCAAGGCAATTTCTCATTCCTAATACAAAAGTAAGGCAACTCTAGTTGGCAAAAAAAAAAAAGAGCAATTTTTTTTAACTAAAGCATAAGTATCTTCTTATTGGATATAATCCTATTCGAGATATTGTTGGGCATTAAATCTAAGTATTTCCCCTAGTAGGAATTCTAACCTTGGTTCGTCATGTTATGAGAGACTAGTCATTTTTATTAGACTCAACTCTATTGATAAGGAAGAGTAACTTTGAAACTTGAGTCGTGTGATGTGACATAACGAATCAAAATGGACCAGAAAGCTGTGTTTTTGTACCAGATATCTACTAGCCATAATGTACCATATCAATATGGCTGGGAGAACCCATGAGATTAGATTTAGCAAATCGGACCGGATCAACCGAGTCAACCAAAAAACCAGTGAATTGGTCTTTGGTCCGGCCTAGTTTAAGGAGAAAACCAGTCATCTATAGAACCGGTAATTAACCGATCAAGCCGGTATTAAACCAGGCAACTGCCCAGTTGGGGGGTTGACTGGTATAATTTTTTTTCCCCACCCACTGCCCAAAACGACGTCGTCCTTTATTAGGAAAAAAGAATTAGAACACATTACAAAAAAACATGCTTTTAGCGACGGAATTATCGATGGATTAGCAATGGGAACGAATTAGCAACGGAATTTGTTCCATCGCTAATTCCTTTTTCGCTAATTAGCAACGGATTACTGAAATTTTCTGTCGCTAACCCAATTTTTTAGAAAATAAAATAAAATGCCACGTGGCACCTCTACCAATTGCCACATCATCACTGGGGACCACCTTCACATGTCGCTACCATCTCACCTCTGCCTACCACGTGTGCTGCCACATCACATGTCACCTTTGCCTGCCACGTGTTGCCACCACATAATTCCTTCCTCAAAGTGACTTCTCCATGGCTCAAACCTAGGGCCTCCTTTGTGCTCACGTGCGGCTTTACTAGTTGAGCTGCAATAAAATTGTTGACTTATTATGTAAAATTAAATATGTATAATATTATTTTACACAAACAATTATATATGCATATATATTATTAAAAACTAAAAATATACTATATGATAATTTTAATCATAACTATTTTAATGAAAAAATAATTTTGAAATATTTGTTTTATAATGTTTTATTTATTTAAAAAATATTTTTAATATAATTTTAATTTCTAACAACACTAATTTTGAATTTATTTTCTTAAAATTCTTTGTATATACCATTTGTTTTTGTATTGAAGATCAAAATCAATCTATATCATTGGTATTAATTATATCGTGATTAAATTTTATTATTTAATGATTGAAATTCAAAATTCACTTCAATATTAATTTGCATTCATATAAATTCATTTTTTGGTTTTGAATTTCTATCATATGTTATATATTTCAATATATTTTACATATGATAAAATTATTTCTTTCTTATATCAGTTTGTACGTATAAGAAAGTTATTAATATTCTTATTATATTTTTTAGTTATTATTAATAATCAAGAGGAATTTATTTTAACAAAATATAAACAAGTTTTCTAAGAAATTGTCTTTTTATTTTCAGTATATACATAATGATAACATGAATGATGACGACATCTTTATTAACACCAACTCCACAAGTATATCAATTTATTTATAATTAAAAATATTTTAAAATCATTATATTTTTAATTGTTATTATATAATTTTTGTAAGATTATAATTTAAAATAACAAAATTTAAAATTAGTGACAGATTAGTAATGGAATTGCGACAGAATTAGTGACCGAAACTTTTGTGACAAACAATTTAGCGATGAAAATTTCAGACGGAAAAAATTCCGTTGCTAAATATTTACTAACGAATTTTTTGACGGATTAGCGACGAAATTTAGCGACAGACAGAAATTCTATCACTAATCCGTCAAAAAAATTAGCGACGGAATTTCCGTTGCAATTCCGTCAGAAATTAGTGACAGAATTTGTTTCCATCACAAATTCCGTTGGAAATTAGCAACGAATTTGTTGCCTCGCAAATTCTGTCACTAATCAGCTGTTTTTTTTTTGCAGTGACGTTGTCGTTCAAGTTGGACGTTACTCCCCCCATCCCTCCCTCCCTACCAGATTCCCATTCCCTTCTTTGTTCTAGTCAACCATTCTCCCTTCCCCAAATCCCTTGTAGTGTCGTTAAGTTGCCGTGGAGAGTCGAGATAGCAGCGCAATGGTCGACTAGTAGTGGAGACGGAGGCACGATGGTTGACTTGTCGTGCATTGTCAAGAATGGAGACAGAGGAGGCATGGTGGTTGCCTCTTCAAATCCCTAGCCGCTGCTTGCCTTGCCTAAAACTAAAGGGCCTCCTTCAATTCCTGGTTCAATCAATCACACTGGCTTTGGCGCATTGGGAAACATTCTCTCCCCTTTCAACTAGGTTGTGATTTGAGGAATAAATTTATAAATGTCTCTATTTTGATTTCTGCCTCTCTCCACTGGCTTAGAGGTTTGGGAAGTGAGGGGAGATGAAAATCTCTGGCTGAAGTTCAGCTGTTGAACACTCAAAGTCACTAGCTGAGAGTTTTGCCTTTCTGCTTTGCTTTATGCCTTTCATCGGATTTGGTTTTGCCTTTCGCCAGATTTGGTTTTTCCATTCTAGATAAAGATAAGCTGAAGCTCGAAGGATTTTTTTCTTTAAAACTAAAACAATGTTAGAAGTGTTAGAATGATGATTGATTGTTTTTTGCTTTCTCCACTGAAGCTCTACTGCTATTTAGCTAATAATTAGAAGTGTTAGAAATTAGAACGATGATTGATTGATTTTTGCTCTCTATTACTATTTAGCTAATAATTAGAAATGTTAGAAATTGGAGTGATGATTGATTGATTTCTAAGAATGGTACATCATCAAATTCTAGCATGTGTGATATCCAAATGCCTAGTGTGGATTATTTGAGTTTTTGTGCCCTAAACTAATTCCTAAAACTTGTGGTTCCACTATTTGTTTTTATCTAATATTTAGGATCATTTTGATTAATTTTTTATTTGTTATTTAGTAGTAGTGATGGATATTCCAAACAATCAAAATTCTAGAAATGATAATGTCACTCAATCTTCCACTCCCAATGCCGAAACTTCTACTCCTATACCCACTTCTTTGTTACGTGTCAAAACTGATCTTGTATGGGGACATGTTGCCTACAGAAAAGAGGAGACACAAACTTTATATGCATGCCTTTTTTGTGGTAATAATTATAGAGGAGGCGGGACAAATAAGATGAAGCAACATCTTGCTAGTGTCACTGGTCAATATCTTCATGTAAAAATATTTCACATAATGTACGTCATAGAATGATAGAGTCTTTGAAAGAATGTTCAAAGACAAAAGCTATTGAAAACATAGAAAAGGAATTTGAAGAAACCCATGTTGATGCTCCAATTATCATGAGTAGTGCAAAGGAGAGGTCTTGGGAGTATGGACAATAATTTGCTTCTAGGGCAGTTCCTGATTCCCAACTAGGCATTAAGAGTGCATTAGCAACTAAAGAAGAAAAACACAATGTGAAGATGTTGATTGTTGAATAGGCCATTGTCAACTGTATTCCATTCAAGGCATTTGATTGCCTTTTATTTCAAAAAGCTGTGGATGGTATTGCTTCAATTGGGTGTAGGTTTAAAGCTCCTAGTGCTTATGATTTCAAAACCCATTTATTGAGTGATTAGAGAAAAGAATGTCAATTACTCGATGA